AGGTACTTGTACTCATTTCACTGCTAGTTCATTCATTCCTCGTTCAGTTCTTCTGACAAATACCTCAATTGTAACCCTAAACTGTCCCCAAAATATCTTTGGGGACAGCTTGTATGATAAAATTGTTTGGGGTCAGTTGTATTTCTGTCCTGAAAATAACTCTGTATCTAATTTGTCCCGCATCTGATCGGGACCCGCTGCAATTGGAAGATTTGAGTTCGATTCTCGAGTCTGGCGGATACTTCGCCAACCTTTTTCCGTCTCCAATTGCGCGTGACCAACTGTTCGAAACTCCTGAAACTGATTGTAACACTTCGGAAGTAACAATCGCGCTTATCGTCATTGGCGAAATCAAACAGAATTCGACATGAACGGTAACTCAGCATAATCCGAAATGAACACTACTCCGCGCGCCACGTGTCTAGAATCGATGGAAATAATATGAAACGTGGCACCTGCCAGCTGCGCCGAAATCGTCCACGTACGCAGAAAAAAATCGCGTCAGTGCAAAATGGCCACCACACAACCGAAACACTCAACCATCTGCATCGTCCACTTCTTGGTGTACACCAGAAACACAATTACCACCACGAAACTCTTCCCAACCCATCTACACCGCTGAAACAACCCAAACTGCTGGGTAGAAAAGTGCAGTTCAGTCGTGTCCTATCTCATTTCCTTCTCTAGTAAATAGCTGTTCTACTCTTGTGTCTGCCAGATCGACTTTTTCATTCTGTCGTATACTTTAGCTATCAGCCACGTCTTTATCAAATGCACTGTTATACCGCACGATAACCAGAATTACTAGCAGTTCCTATTAGATGTTGTTGAATCACTCTCGTCAGCGTGCGCGACCCTAATTATGTTCTTGTTTCCCATTCCAATGTCTTCTTCTTTGCCTTCTTTCCTTGCTGTGGCAGTGATTCACGACAGAAAATGAAATCTTCGCAAGGACATCGCAAATAGCGCATAGTATTCCCGACCCAAAACTTCGCCGCATCTACTCGTTATGGCTTTGTTTTCTTGCAAATTCTATTGTAATTTCGTTGTTCTTCTTTACGTCGTATTTTGCTCTCACTTGACGTCGTATTTTGCTCTCACTTGACATTGTATTTTGCTCATCCGAATTGACTGAACAGAATCTGAAGAGATTGCATATCATGATTCCGTAATTGGTAAGTACCCGTGGAGTCTTCTGATGGCATCTTTCAACCGTCGTTTTTTTTACAGGCTGTCAGGTTCATAATCGACGATTTAAAAGAGGTTTTCTTATGAGCCATTCCCTTTGTCATCTTCAGACCCACGGATTACGTTGGGTGAAGGAAATATTCGATGCATTATTTTTGTGTATATTATCATGTGAACAGAGTCATTTCACTAATACTTGTTTTTCTTTGTTGTCAGATTGCTGCTGTTTTATTGAGGTTGGGTTCTCAAAGCTTCATGAATTTGTATACGGTATGTTGATCAGCCAACATGGACTGATGTACTCATGTGCTTTCTATATCAATAAATTATAAGCAATGTAATAGTGTACTGCATACAATGCACGGGGGCTTTAAATCCAAATGTATGAAACCCAAATGCCATTCGAACCAGTCCTCCAGGTAGCCCAATAGTGATTTGTTAGAATGTCCCAGAGCTGTCCCCGAAGTGTCTTTCGGGATACCAACCTGGGATAGTTTTGGGTCCCAAAGACTTCATCTTTGAGATGTAGCAGCTCAAACTGATCCAGATGTAGTCAGGTTTGAACCGGTTCTGGTTCCTTCCAACCAGAATTATGTTTGGGCAAGAACCGAGCCTCAACAGATTCGAACGGAACCTGGTGAAACTGATCCCTAGTCAAATAAAACCCGTTGGGTTCTAGCAGATTGAAGGGTGAGACTGTAACAGTGCGGCAGCAGCCAGCACACTGCGCAGGTGGGGCGTGGAGTGGCCTTTCCTGGCTCCCATCCCTCCATGGTGCTGCCTACGTCCTTTCCCTCAATTTCCTCTCACAACCATGAACATCGCAACCATAGACCCGTCCCCTCGCCTCACCCTGTCCCCCCCTTCACCCTGCCCCCCGGCCTCACACTGTCCCCCTGCCTCACCCTGTCCCCTTGCCTCACCGTGTCCCCTCACCTCACCATGTCTCTCACACCAAAGAACATCACAGGAATCATATCCCTGCCTGTCGCAGTGTCCCCTCACCTCAACCTGTCCCTTGCCTCAACCTGTCCCCTTGCCTCATATGGCCCTTTGTATTAATAATCAGCATGCATTAAGGTTGAAGGTGAGGCAAGGTTCCTATGTTCTACCCACCCGGACCCCAAGGGGGCCAAGAAGGGGCTCTACGAGCAAAAACATGTATTTTAGGTCTAGGAGCTCGATGGCGTCCGCTATCCCAGCCGCATCCGCCTCCATGGCGGTGTTAGTCTTTTGGTTGAAAGTGTGATCTTGGCCTCATTGTAAGGTGATGCTCCAGCGCTGCCAGTGCTCATGGAATAGCTTGGCTGCTTCCGATGAGGTTGGGGCTGCATTGAATCGACGTTTGGCAGCAAGGATGGCACACTGTTACAGGAACTCGGACACCCCCGGTAAGGTGCAGCCATATGTTTTGACTGCCACGGGAAACCACTCGCAGCCATGGGGTTGAAGCCCTCTCAATCATTCCTTAGGGCATACTTTTCCATCTTCTTGGATGCAGCTACTACCCGGGCAGCCCACCACTGGCTTCACTCTGTCCCTCCGCCTCACCCTGTCACCTTGCCACCCTGTCCCTTTGACTCAGCCTGTCCCCTTCTATGCCTCACCTTGTCCCCTTGCCTCACCTTGTCCCCTTGCCTCACCTTGTCCCCTTGCCTCACCTTGTCCCCTTGCCTCACCCCTTTGCCTCACCCTGCCCTTGTTTCACCTTGTCCCCTCCTTTGCCTCACCCTCTCTCCTTGTCTCACTCTGTCCCCTCACCTCACCCACCCTGTCCCTTTGCCTCAACATGTTCCCTTGCCTCACCCTCTCCCTCACCAACCATCGCTGCACCAGCTGCACTCTCTATGTCTGCTACTGGTAGCACGCATCTTGTTGCTCCCTCCATCACTTATGACAGGACCCATGGCAGCAGCCACACGTTGCTCAACGTTGCTATCTAGCCTCAAATAGTCTCCCTTGAAAATGAGAATTTTACCCAAACTTCTGGGCTAGGCTTGCCAGTCTACCCAACTCTTGTTGATGCACTTCTGACTGCTGGTGTGAGGGGTGTGTTGACGGAAAAATGACCCCGCCCTCACTTGGGCAATGCAAATTTCGCAGTCGGGTTTGCTGGAGGTACAGTCGGCTGCAGTCAGTGGTCGACGCAGACTTCAGGAGGGAAATCGTCGGATATGTTCGTCCTTCGCCGACGACGCCTTCGACGTCTGCTTCTTCTTGTGTGGCGGACTTCTCCCGGCTTACCTTCTAGTCGTAGTCGAACTCCTCTCGATCGGGACAGTCGTACGAGACGTGGTCAAGATCAACACAGACGTAGCACTGGCGCACTCCTTGGCGCCTCTTGCTGCCACCACGCTCTTTTTCCGAGCCGACTTCGTTTGGTGGGCGTCTTTTGTCGACTTCCCTCCTCTGCTGCCTCCGCCCAACTTCCCAAGTTGCCCCTGCTGATGTCCCTGCTTCGTCGGAGCGGCGTAGTTGGCCTGTGGAAGGAGCTCCGTGAGCAACTCAGACTCCTGCATGAACTCGTCTTGGATGATGTGGCTCATCACCGTGTTCTCGTTGAGCGTTCCGCGTACGCCGGGAGGAGTTAGCATACGGCACATTAGATTATAGCCCATCGGGAGGCCCTTGATGATGTGGGCGACATATGACGCCACCGAGATGTCGACGCCGGCCATCCGCAAGTCGGCCAGAATGTGCCGAGCATGGTTGCACTACTCCGCTGTCAACTCTTGCTTGCCCATCCTCATGTTGATCAGCCGCTGCTGCAATTGACCGATGTACAAGTCGTTGGTTGCCTTGTACGTCCGCATGATGAACTGCTACGCTTGGTAGCTGGCGTCCACCCAAAGTCGGCAAGGCTTCGGTGCGACTTGCACTATCAGCAAGTAGCATTTCAAGATAGACCATATATGTCAGAAATTCGTCAAGATCGTGCGGACGATGCTGTTTTAGGCGGGCGTGAAACATCACTGATGGCTCCTCGTCCTCTGCCAAGCCATCTAGGTGCCTTATGTCACCGAATATGCACGGTTGTGCATATAAGGTGCCAGTAATAAGGGGGTGTAGTGATGGTGTAGCTATGTTGTGCTTGCAGATTCGAGGATGGGTAGGTGGGGGCTGGGAAGTTGACACGAAGTTGGTAGGAGAGCACCAAGGGGTGAAATCCATGCAACCAATGGGAACGAACCAACCCAGGCTCGAGCCGCACATTGAGAAATGCACGGTTCGAGCCAGGGTCAGGTAAGTTCACTCTCACACACACACACAATGCTTTCTGTTTGTTATCCTTTCGTATAGTGGATTGTTGTTGCCTCAAGCTTTGCATACGGGTGACACACCACTCAGGGAGGACCTTTGAGGTGAGAGTCTCGTTTCTTTCATAACAAACAGAAAGGTGCAAGTATAAGCATGGATGTGTACGAGCTGCGTTATGGCAGGAATTACGGACGCCGTGAGGAGGATCGCTCACGGCGCGAACGCTCACGTGAGCGCGGGCGTTCATTGGAGAGGTCGCCCGGTGACCTGAGCGATCTCCGCGGAGGCCGGCCTTTCGCGCGGATCAGGTCCCTCTCGCGCCAGATCGGCAGGAGGGAAGATCCGCTCGAGAAGGAAGAGGCGGATCCGGATCTTTCACGATGGGAACTGACCCATGGTGGACGGACGGGCGCCACGGAGCTGAGGGCGGTCATGGGTACCGTCAGGACATGGGAGCATACCGCTCGCCGGAAGAAGGCTATCGCCGTCGCGAAGATCGTGGCCGCGGGCGAGGTCTGGAGGAGCTCTTCTCGGGTCGCCAAGGCGATCTCGATATGGATGGAGAAGAGGAGACAGACTCGGCGAATAAGGTGCAGGAGTCGGATCGTGAAGGCGAGACCAAGGGCGATGACGAGTTCCAGGAGGAAGGCGCAGGCGAGCATCGCGAGATGCCCGCTGGAGTCAATGACGACGATCCCGCGCAGGCAGGCGTGGCGGTGAAGCCAAGCGCGGCGGCGGCGGACGGACAGAGCGGTCGAAATCTGCCGCGCGGCGGAGAGGAAGGTGATGGCGGGGGGCGTGGCAGTGGCGGACGCTCTCCAGATCCGCGTCGGCGACGTGACGGAGAACGCGGCGGCGGCATGCGCTCGCCTGATCCACGGCTGAATCGTGACGGAGGGCGCAGCGGCGGTGCGCGCTCGCCAGATCCACGGCTGAATCACGTGAAGGAACGTGGCGGCGGCGCGCACTCGCCAGACCCGCGGCTAAATCGGGATGTGGGACGTGGCGGTGGCGGACGCTCGCCAGAATCGCGGCGGAGCCGTGAAGGGGAGCGTGGTGGCGGCATGCGCTCGCCAGATCCACGGGTGATGCAGGAGGAGAAGCGTGGAGGCGGCCATCGCTCGCCAGATCCACGGCAGCACCGAGACGGTGGGCACTGGGGCGGAGCGCGCTCACCGGATTCACAGAGGTATCACGACTGGAGGAGCGGGGGGGATCGGCGCTCGCCTGGTCCCTATCACCCCCGTGAGAAGAGACGAGGAGGCGGCTACCGCTTGCCTGATGTGAGAGTACGACGGGTTTGCTATGATTTACTAGCATGATTATGCTTTATTGTGCATTATCTAGCTTAGCTTTGCTTTATTTTGCTTGCTTTTGCTAGAATTCCTAGGTTCGTTGCTTTTACTATATTTATTATAGTTATAGGCACTCAACTAGGTTGACTGCTCCGAATTCTAGGCTTTTCGGTTGCCACCGAATTGCCTTCTACCAAATTCGGGAAGGACCCGTTCGGGACGCTTCGCGACCCGCGGAACCTTCTAGTAACACCAGGGTTACTGCCTTTGTGTCAAGCCTATATATAGCCTCGCCTTGTACCCAGGTGCATTATTGAATAGTTCATACTTTCCTGAACCAGATCCTCACACTTGGTATCAGAGCGGGTTTACACGCGAGGTCTTCAACCGCGTAGTTCCGGCCTTTAAAAACCGCGGGAGCGACAACGAACGCGCCGAGACGGGTATGTAAAACCAGTTCCGCGCGATTTTTTCTAAGTCCCCCTCGATTCGGTTTTGAACACCCCTCAGGAATATTGGTGAAAAAGTTGGAATTTCGACCGTCAGATCGAGTTTCTCCTCAACGGCCGAGATCGGACGCGAATTCGCTTAGGGGAGATTACCGCGACGTACAGAATTCGAGCTCGTCGATTCTACAGTCGATTCGACTCGCAGTAAGTCGACCAGCACCCGGAATTTAATTATTTTCGTCGCGCATCTTTCTGTAAATCGCCAATAGGGAGGGAAATAGAGATTTCTTTATAGGAAAATTCGCGGAGTTACGTGCTGAGCATAAGCAGATATTTGCGGCGCTCCCACGACTCGAAAAACTCCTTGCGAACCAATCGGTAGCCGCAGCAGCAGCAGAAGCGACGACGGCGACACCGATAATTGTACCTGCGACAACGGCAGCAGCTACATTTAATCTCGAAGCAGTAAAGCCGAGGCGACCAGACGCGTTCGATCCTAGAGCGAAAGGGAGCGACGTCCGTCGATTTGTAGCTGTACTAGAAAATTTCTTCGAAGCCGTTGGATGCACGACCCTCAACCAAGACGCATTGCGCATACGGCTCGCAGCAACACTGTTACGAGGCCCAGCTCTAGAGTGGATTAGCAATAGATTTGTCCAAGGCGAAGAGACGTGGGCGCAGTTTCGGGCAGCACTGATCGAACAGTTCGACGCGTTGAACAGTAGCTACTACGGAACACGACGCAACAAGCCAAATAGTGGCATGGAGCGATTGGCACCACCCACGACTGCCGACCCGATGGAGAACGACAAGGGCGATGCGACGCAGCAGCTAGCAAAAAATGCGACGTGCGAGTTTTGCGGCGCTACAGGACATCGTATCTTGGCGTGTTGGAAAATGAAGAAAGTACGTGCGGAGCTGAAGGGCAAGAACAGTGTGGCACCCCCGAAGCAGAAAACGGGCGACGTGGCAACTTCGGAGAGGGCGAAAAAAGGAGAATACGGTGGCGCGAAATTAAAACGTCACGACCAGCCGGCTCCAGGGGAAATCGCCGAGACAAATGGAGACTCCGCGAAACAAGACCCTGCACCGACCGGGAAACTCCAGCCGTACACCTCGACAAGTAAGAATTCGTTAAAGTTATCCTATAAAGATACTTTAACTAAGAATATTACTTCTCGTGGTTTTCAAGCCTATTTTAAGGGAGAGTCAGAAATTAAACCGGTACCGGGTAATATGAGTACCCTACTCCGGAGCGCTAATAAGGGTCGAGCGTTCCGAGGAGTTAATATTCTCTCCCAGCAGCCCTGTTCAAAGGCTCCCGGCCGTTCCCCACAGGAGCCTACACAGCTGCAAAGGCTTAGGGGAAGGTTCCAGGCCCTAGAGAAGCTGAATCGGCCTCGGATAAATCCTTCTAACCCTGCTAAGTTGGAAACTGAGTCAGCAGCTTCGAGCGCAGGACCAAGGGACGATACATTTGATCTACCTTATGATCCTGTAAGCAACACCATCTACAGCTACTCGGAGCGGCAGCAGCCACTAGTACTCGAGGTGATCTGCAACGGGCGACGCCTCCAGGCACTGGTGGACAGTGGTGCGTCCCACTCGGTGTGCGACCGCGGGACGTTGGAGAAAATTGGAGAGACATCAGAGAGGACCCAGTTTACAGCAACGATGGTGGACGGTACGAAGCTTCCCATCCACGGCAAGTCAACACTGCAGCTGCAGATAGGGGCGTTGAGGTGGAAGCCGACGTTGCCGATCACGAACATCAAGGGATTAGATTTCATCTTGGGGCGTGATTTTCTGAAGCGGTTCAAAGCCGAGATTGACTGGGTCAACCGGAAGGCGTGCATCTACAACAACGGGAAACGTGTGGAGCTGCGAAGCTGGACGGATACAGGGGATGTTCCTGAAACGACACTGGCGCGGTTCGAACGGAGAGTGAACAAGAGTAACACGGGTTACTTAGCACTGGTTATGGCAGCAGCAGAGGAGGAGAAGCCGAGTTCGGAGCTACCTGCAGCAGTAAAGGAGGTGTTGGAGCAGTACAAAGACATCATGCCAGACGACCTACCTGCAGGAGTACCTCCAGCGCGCACCCACGAGCACGAGATCGTGGAGGAACCAGGTGCGAAACCCGTCTCACGTGCACCATACCGACTGAGTCCGACCGAACTGACAGACATGAAGAAACAGATAGAGTATCTACTGGACAGACAACTAATCCGCCCATCCACCTCTCCCTACGGCGCACCGGTTCTCTTCACTCCAAAGCCAGACGGTAGTTTACAGATGTGTATCGACTACCGGGCACTAAACAAACAGACGGTCAAGAACAAATATCCCATACCGCGCATAGATGATCTTTTAGACCAACTGCATGGTGCGACGGTGTTTTCGAAGCTGGACCTACGGTCGGGTTACTGGCAGATCAAAATGGCGGACAACTCGATCCACAAGACGGCGTTCCGTACCAGATACGGCTCCTACGAGTACTTAGTGATGCCGTTCGGGCTCTGCAACGCACCAGCGACGTTCCAGGCAGAGATGAACCACATCCTACGGCCCCTGCTGGACGAGTGCGTGGTAGTGTACCTGGACGACATATTGATCTACTCCAAAACCATGAAGGAGCACGTGGAGCATCTGCGGAAAGTCTTCGAGATCCTGCGGGAGAACAAGTTCTACGTGAAGCTGTCGAAGAGCGACTTCGCCCTGAAGAAGGTGCAGTTTCTCGGGCACATGGTGAGTGCCGAGGGCGTACACGTGGACCCGCGGAAGATCGAAGCCGTCAAGAAGTGGAAAGTTCCTGAGAACGTGAAGGAGTTGCAGCAGTTCCTAGGCTTCGCCAACTACTACAACAGGTTCGTGCCGCAGTACGCTAAGATAGCAGCGCCACTGACCAACCTACTGAAAAAGGATACGCCCTACAAATGGGATACTCCTCAACAGCAAGCCATGGAGCAGCTACAGACAGCACTGACTACAGCGCCAGTACTCATCCTACCGGACCCAGACAAGGACTACGTGGTGGAAGCAGACGCTAGTGACCAAGCAGTCGGAGCAGTACTGATGCAGGATCACGGACGCGGTTTGCAGCCCATCGCCTATCTCAGTAAGAAGCTACACGGAGCAGAACTGAACTACCCCATCCATGACAAGGAAGCCTTAGCGATAGTCACAGCCTTCAAGGCGTGGAGGTGTTACCTAGAGGGAGCCAAGACTACAGTTTACACTGACCACTGCAGCCTCAAGTACCTGAAGTCGCAGCCGACGCTTTCACGACGACAGGTGCGGTGGGTGGACTTCTTGGAGACACACTTCCACTACGACATCGTCTACAAGCCCGGGCTACACAACAAAGCAGACGCGTTGAGCCGCCCCGGTCACGTAGCAGGCATCCAGCTCGATGGGATGAACCCTCTACTCAAGGGTCTATTCCAACATGGGTACTCCGTGGACGCAGAGATCGCTACAGCAGAGAAACAGAAGCTGTTACAGTGGGAGAATGACTTAGCTGTAAGAAAGGGATCGGGAAAGATTTGGGTACCGAACTATGCCCCGCTCCGACAGATCTTACTGGAGGAGTTTCATGATGAGGCATATGCGGGACATTTCGGGAGTAACAAGACGTTAGCGGGAATAGCGAAGTATTACTACTGGCCCCGGATGGCAGCAGACGTGCAGCAGTTCGTCACCTCATGCGACACGTGCCAGCGGATGAAGAGTAGCAAGCAGAAAAAAGCAGGATTACTTCAGCCTCTACCCGTACCGGAGCAGCCATGGCAAGTTGTCAGCCTAGACTTCATCACTGGGCTTCCTTCGACCTCACGAGGGCATGATGCTATACTCGTGGTGATCGATAAATTTTCTAAAATGGGTCACTTCATACCGACCAACGCCACAGCTACAGCTGAAGCAACTGCTCGCCTCTTCTTCGACCGCATCATCACCATCCACGGCATCAGCCACTGGGATCAACAGTTACCAACGCTTGAGTTCGCTTACAACAACGCGTCGCATGCGGCCACAGGGAAATCTCCTTTCTTCCTGTGCTACGGACGGGAACCACTTACACCACAGCAGCCAACAACACCTGCACACGTCCAAGCCGCACACAACTTCGTCACCACCATGCAGCAGCTATGGGAGAAGACTCAGCGACGTCTCACCACGATGCAGAACTCCCAGAAGCAGTATGCCGATCGACAGCGACGAGATCACTCAGTAGCAGTCGGAGATCAGGTACTTCTTCACGTCGTAGTCGCGCTGAGCGGCTATGTGCAGCAGCACCCGAAGAGTGGTCATCTTCGGGGTGGGGGAGAAGGTCTGAAAGAAGTCTACTCCCTCTCGCTGACTGAAGCCTCGAGCCACGTAACGCGCCTTGAAGACAGGCGGAGAACCCGGCGGCCGCTTCACCCTGAAAATCCACATGCCACTGACGATGTTCGCCCCAGGAGGGGGAACCTCGTCGACGTAGGTGCGTGTGGACTTCCAGGAAGCCATCTCTGCGTCCATGGCTGTCTGCCACTGAGAGGAGTAGGGACCCGCCATCGCCTCTGCGTAAGAGCGCGGAGTCGGGATGTCTGGTGCATCCGGGTCTCC